TTTTTTTTTTGTGTGTGTGTGTGTGTGTGTGTGTGGTTTTTTTTAATGTATGATAGCCTTGATGTCATCCCATAACTGGTCTGGTCTTCTGTCATTAGTGTTCAGTGTGTCAAATCTTTTCTTGAGATGACCTCTAACTTCAGGTGGGATAAATTCAAATTTGGGTTGTTGTTTTTTTTTTTGGCTTTAATGGACTTGTTTTAATTTTCTTCAGCTTCAACTTGAACTTTCATATGAGCAATTGATGGCCTATGTTGCAATCAGCCCCTGGCCTTGTTGTGACAGATAATATTGAGCTTCTTCAACTTGAACTTTCATCTGAGCAAATGGTCTGTTTTGCAATCAGTCACAGATACATTAGATTTGATCCTGGATATTCCATCTGGTGAGGGTCACGTGTATTATTGCTATTAGGTGTTGTCAAGTAGGTTCCAACTCCCAGGGACCCTGTAAACAACCAAATAAACAACTGCCTGGAGCCGTGCCAACTTCACAACTGCTCGTTCTGTTTGAGCCCCATGTTGCTGCCACTATGTCAATCCATCTTCACTTTTTCACTGACCTTCCAGTTACCAAGCATGATGTCCTTCTCCAGGGACATATTGTCCCTCCTGTCCAAAGAACAAGAAATGATGTCTTGCCATCCTCTCTTATAAAGAATATTATGACTACACTTATTCCTAGACAGATTGGTTTGTTCTTCTGGCAGTCTGTGGTACTTTCAATATTCTTCATCAATGCCATAATTCAAATGCATCGATTCTACGACGGTCTTCATTATTCAATGTCCAGCTTTCACAGGCATATGCGAGATAACGGAAAAGGCCATGGCTTGAGTCAGGTGTATCTTAAGCCTCAAACTGACACCTTTGTTCTTGAACACTTTAAAGAGGTCTTTTGCAGCAGATGTGCCTAATGCAATATGCTGATTAATTTCTTGACTGCTGCTTCCATGAGTGTTGATTGTGGAGCCAAGCAAAATGAAATCTTTGACAACTTCAATCTTTACTCCATTTATCATGATGGTACTTATAGTCCAGTTGTGAGAATTTCTGTTTTCTTTACATTTAGGTGCAATCCACACTGAAGGCTATAGGCGTTGATCTTTACCAGTAGGTAGTTTAACTCCTCCTTCACTTCCAGCAAGCAAGCTTGTATCATCTGCATAATGCAGGTTGTTAGTGAGTCTTCTTCCAATCCTGATGCCATGTTCTTCTTCACATAGTCCAGTTTCTAGGACTATTTGCTCAGTACACAGACTAATCAATAAGTACAGTGAAAGATGAAATAAGTCTGGGGCACACTTTTCCTGATTTTAATCCATTTGGTATCCTCTTCTGCTTGAATGACTACCTCTTGGTCTATGTACAGGTTCTTCATGAATGCAATCAAGTATTCTGGAATACGCATTCTTTATAATGTTATCTATAGTTTGTTAGGATCTTTGCACAGTGAGTAAAGCACAAAGAAACATCTTTCTAATAATCTCTGCTTTCAGTCATGTACATAGTCTCAACTCATTTTGTGGAAATCAGGTACTTGCATTGAATAAGTAGTTGGTTTTACAAAATTCTTACCGCAATCTCTGATGCTTTTATTACCAAGGCTATATTTTCGAACTACCAATCCTTCTTTGTTTCCAACTTTATTATCCTAATCACTGGTAATTATTAATGCATCTTGACTAAATGTTTGATCAATTTCAGACTTTAGGAGTTGATAAAAATCTTCAATTTCTTCGTCTTCGGTATTAGTGGTTGGTGCATAAATGTGAACAACAGTCATGCTAATTGATCCTTCTGGGCAGACATATGGATATTATCCTAGTACTGACAGTGTTGTACTTGAGGAGAGATCTGGAAATGTTCTTTTTGATAATGAATGCAACTGCGTTCCTCTTCAATTTGTCACTTCTGGTACAGCAGAGCGTAGGAGTCAATACGGTCACTACCAGACCATTTCAGCTCACTAATACCGAGGACCGGGCAGTGTTGTGTTCTACTGCGCATAAGGTCACTATGAGTCAGTACCGACTCAGTGGCACCTAACAACAACAAATACCTAGGTTTAGCTCACCAGCATCGAGGACCACATGACCTAATGGATAAGATATCTGACTTGGGATCCAAAGATTAAGAATTTGAACGCTTTCATGATTAATTTGGTTTCACAGAATCCTGGTGGTGCTGTAGCATAAGCATTGGACTAATCACAAGGCTTGGCAGTTCAAACTCACCAGCCACTGCCAGGCTTTCTGTTCCTGTAAAGGGTTGCTAGGACTCATAACCAACTCGAAGGTACCTAACAGCAATAATAATACCTACAATATCCATTTTCAAGCGTTCCACCTAATTTTTGATGCCTTTCAATTATTAGTGGATGTTTGCAGCTGTTTCATCTTATTTTGATTGGTGCCACACCAACAAATGAAGGGCCTGAAAGCTTTACTCTAGCCACGTTCTCACAGTTGACTCCATTTTTGAGGAGGCAACTCTTCCCCAGTCATATTCTGAATGGTTCATCTTCTAGCACTATATCAGACAATGTTCCACAACTCTCCATGAGGTTTTCAATGGATAACGTTTTTAGAAGTATACTGCCAGGTGTCTGTCCTAGTCTGGAAGCTCTGCTGAAACATGACCATGTGATTCTACTGCTATATAAAATAGCGACGGCACTGTTTCCAGCATCACAGCAATACATAAGCCACCACAGTACGACCGAGGAGTTGCCCAATATATGGCCCCAGTACTGTTTGCTCTAAAGTAAGCTGTGGATGCAGTCTCTGTACCTCAGGTGCATCATCTACAGGGAAGAGTAAAACTGAAGTGGGCTGTGATGAAGAGTGACCAGTGCTGCCCACTAATGGTTGCACTTTGCCTTTATTAGGTATTGTTCCAAATGAAGCATACCCTAGAGGCCATGGTCTTTGTTGCTGAGATCCTGATAATGCTAAGAGGACAAGAAGTAGAAAAAGAAAGAAAAATGCAAGTTTGGTCAAGACAATGACTCATGGTTCGGGTCCAGGATCAGGAGCAGTTGCTGTGAAAGTGTGTAGTCCATAGGGCAGAAACTGTGGGACCCTGGGAGCTGAGTTCAGTGGTAAGTGTCTTCCTCCTCTCAGTGTTGCACCTGCCGTTCTCCTTTCCGCCTAGGCTGCAATTTTCTTTTTTCCTCATGTGGCCAGCTTCTACTTATACTTCAGGCTTCATCCCAAGTATCCCTCCTTAAAACTGCCTTTTTCTTGACCTCACTGGCCAACAGGTTACCTAACCTCCTTTTCCCCTCTCTAATTACATACTCTTACAACATCTTGTGCATTTCATTTGTGTCATGTATCACAATTTTAGCAAGACAATTATTGTGCAATTATTTGTTTTCTGTTTGGTGTCCCACTCAAATGTAAGCCTCTGAAAACAGGGACAGTTTTGTTTTCTGCTACATCCCCAACCCTGATTTCGTATCAGTATTTGCCAGCTGAAAAGGAATGAATGGCAGGTATGTACTGGTTGACACCAAGTCCAACCTCCGATGGCAATGCTGGACAACTGGTAAAAATGACAGCAACACCTTTTTGTAGCCACTATGGCTCTATCCCCTGTGCTCCTCAAAAGCATGCCAAATTTTATCAATACTTCCAAACCGACAATGGAGAAAATGCAAGTGATTTTTTCCCCAGCAAACATAATAATTAAAGCTTGCCACACAAAATAATATTGATATTTTAGAAATGTAAGACGTATTCTGCAAACACTTTTTGAAATCAATCAATCCATCCCCTGGATTTGAAGACTAAGGGTAATTCTTTTGGAATTTTTAGGGGTCTTCTGCCTCACACACTTCGACTTTCATTAGATCTTATTGTCCTCACAAAAGACTTCTTGGGCCTTGAGAAGACATGGAAAATTAGAAATACTTTTGAAGTCTCCTTGATGTCTCTCCTGCCCCCACTTCATAAATGCTTCAAGAATTGTTCTAGCTCTGCCTGAGAACAGAATGCAATTTAACTAAACTACACAGATCCTTTTTGAAAAAGCAGTTGTTTCCAGATGGGAGAAATTCTGGCTGAACACATGACATGGCCACAGACTACAATCTTAAGTCTCTCCCCCACTGCAGTAATGTGCCATTAGGAAGGTTTCCTGGTGATAGACAACGGGTTCATTTTACCTGGGGACAGTTTCACTGTGACTTCTATAAGAGGAGTGAGAGGGTAGACCTTGCCAAACACTGGGCATTCTAACAAAGTACACTAATTCACTCAAGGAACATTTATTACCCAGGCAGCAGCAAACTCGTCTGGGTGGAGTCAAGTTCAGCTTGGCTGGGAAGCATTACATTCATTATATCCTTGGTTGATAAGAATCCCCAATCAGTTACTCTGAAAAAGGGAGGCTGCTAAAATGAATAGCTAAACTCTAGTGTTTGGCTTCTGGGAGATTTGGAACCATATGGGCTGTGCCTGACTGCTTGTCTCAGCTGGTAATCAAGGCAAGACAACCTCCTACAGCAGAACCCCAGAATTTGCTTGCAGGGTTCTTGTCTTTCTGTGCCTAGAGGGCTGCCTGGTACTTTGAGGGGAAAGAGAAGTGAGAAGGGATAGACCCATACATTGAATCTCAATTGCAGGGATTCTCAAACTGTGTTATGGGAGCACAGAAGTAAGGACCCAGCCTCCAGTCCGACAGTTTTCTTAATGGGCACGTAAGGGTCCAGTTAGCCTGGTGAACAGGGAAGAGTTGTAAGCATGCAGGCTTACTTCCAATGCCGGAATGAAGAAAAACAGCCTCATATATAGGTCTGAAAAAATGCATGCCAGTGGTTTGTGCCTCATTTTCAAGTATGAGGTGTTGAGAAATTTGGCGCACATAATCAATTGGAAAAACCCCACACAATTAGAGCTATAAGTACATGACTAAAACACATCAGTATGGCTTATAGGAAGCAGTAGACCTGAGTGACCAATTGCACAAGCCACCATCCCCCACATGACCACTGACCTGGGACCACTGAGCGTGGCTGTGTCTCTCACCGCCTGGGCCGTTTCTGATGCAAAATCCAGGGCGCCTGCTACTGGCTTGGTTACAGTGCCAACAAGCCCTTTCCCAAGTCCGGAAATGAAACCGCTGACACCCCCTTCGGTTTTCACACCTTCCACTGTTGAGGTTACAACACTGGTCAAGCCACCAATAATACCTAGTGAAAAAGACAAGGACTACTGTCACCTGGCTAAGGACAAAAGCAGAAACACTGAAAGCCAACCCCCTCCACTCCACCCACCTGGCAAAGTAACTTATAGGGGCATTCTGTTCATCTGTGGATCAGAGAGGCCCCAGACAGGCCGACCCAAGATGCGAGCCAGCAGACTTGCCCCTTGAGTTCAGTCCCGGGGTACACATTACACGTCGGTCAGAAGTAAAGTGTATTCCAGTTTAAAAAAAAAAAGCAGTGGCCACTTTTCAGTTCCAGAGCTGGGGAAGAACACGGAGGGGAAGCAAGACAGTAGGGTCTAAGTCAACGGGAGACTAGGAATCACGCCCTTTCCCAAACAGGAACAGCTTGAAGAAGTTGGGGTCTTCAGAAAGGTAAGGTAGAGAGATAGCTAACTAGATATTGCTGCTTAGATTTCAAAGACACTGTGATGGGCCAGCATTGTCAAATGTCTGAAATGGGGCTAAAGCTCCTGCAGACTCGGCTGAAATCAGGTATGCAGGCAATTAGAGTAAAGCTGTATGAAGGGCACCAAAACCTGTCCAAGGCAGTTGGAATCCTCAATGAAGCCACCTCAAAAGACCAATCAACATCAAAAATATATTCCAAACATTTTGAAATTTGAAAGCAGAGGCCTGAAAGTCTCAAAAGTGGTCAGAACTTGGCAAAGGCTGGAGAGGACCCAGGCATTGTAGGGAAAAGCAGGGCCTGTCTGGGGAGCAGTTCCAGGATTTGTGCCAGGGACCTCACAGGATGTTTACCCTTTGATAGTGGGGGTGTGAGGAAGCACTCTAGACTCTTCAGCTCTAGTGAGACAAATTGGTAAAGGAAACTCCTTGGGTGAGAATGTCCTAACAATTCACAACGTGGCTTTTGGATTCAGGGCCCATTTGCTCCAGTTAGGCAATAGCCTTTTCCAACTTTTGGAATAAAGCTTATGGCAGAGCATAGACTCTGGACAGGAGTTCAGATGGGTTCCTTAGAGACACAACAGTACTGAGCTTGGTTCAAGCAGGGCCTACGGAGAGAACTGAACACAGCACTCAGTTTCTAAACCAAGGAGGCTTAGCGGATTGCAGTTGTTATGAGTTGGTCAGGGCCTTTTCATCCTGAAGGATGGATTGCTACTGATTCGATTGAAATTCCTGCCGACTGCACGTGTTTCAGAACAGAACTGTGCTCTGTAGTGTTTTCAAAGGCTGAGACTTTATGGAAGTAGACTCACGGCTTTCTTCTGCAGCGCCACTGGGTGGATTCAAACCCTAATCCTTCTGGTTAGGCGTTAAGCGTAAACTCTGTCACTCAGGGACCTTACTCTTGGCTACTGTTCTCATATCACCCAGGGTGTAGTTGCTGTTTGTTGCACAAGGCCACAGTGGCTGGTGTTGGACTAGCCTAATCAGCTCCTGGAGATACCGTCCACCCTATTTGAGTGAGCCTTGACCGGAGGGTAAGCAATCTTCCACCTTGCACAAACCACCCATTTTCTCAGCGCATTCCTGTATCCGTCAGGAAAATGGGGACAGCCATGCCATGCGCTCTCCATGTCCTAAGGGTACTTGATTGTTGTTAAGTACTGTCAAGTCAATTCTGACCCATAGTGACCTTGTATAGGGTTTCTGAGGAGCCGCTGCTAAGCTTGAACCACCGACCTTGCAGTTCAAATGACTTTGCAGTCCAGCACATTAGCCCACAGCACCACACCAGGTCTCCAAGGGTACTGGACAGATACAGGCAATTCTTCATGGCACAACAGTTTATATTTGCTTAGGAAAAAAGTCCTCTAACAGTCCAATCGCTATCATTATCATTACTAGAAAGTATGATAAGAGTTCTAAAAGGAATCCCCAAGTGGTTAACCAACAGTCAGCTTTTAAAATCCACAAACTCAGCCAAATTTCCCTTCTAGCCTGATGTCTCCTTGAGGCTGCTTACTTTACAGGTGGGCAAGGTCAGGAAAAGCAGAGGCATTTGGATCCAAATGGCATCATTAGGAAAGTTGATAAACAAAAACTCTGTTCTAAACATCATCCCACAAGCACAGATAGAAATATGAATTTTAATTAATTGTATTCCTTCCTCTAAATGCAGATAAATATTCAAGAGTTGACCAGTCTTGATATGACTTCTGATTGTTAAGTTGTGATATGCCTTCGAGTCGGTTCTGACTCATAGCAACAACCCTGTATAGGATTTCCAGGGAGTGGCTGGTGAATTTGAGCCACCAACCTTGAAGTCAAGTGCATTATCCCATGGACCCTATCAGGACTGCTGACTTCTGAGAGCTCCAGATAATTCCTAAGAATCTGGTACAAATTGTTCCATTTCGCATGAGCTGTCTAGCATGAGCCAGGTATCATGGGAGATACGGCACATGGGAAGATCCCCTGGAAGCCAGTCTATCAGGAGGGTGAGCCACACAGCCAACTCTACACACCATCCAGATCCCCTGCGCACTCCCCCAACCCACTGCTGGTGACTGGATTCTGACTCATGTTGGTTAAGTGCCATAGAGTCGGTTCTGGCTGATAGTGACCCTGTATAGGATTTCCTAAGAACAGCTGGTGGGCTCGAATTGCTGACCTTGCAGTTAGCAGTCCAGTGCTCATGTTGTTGTTGTTAAGTGCTGTCGAGTCGATTCTGACCCTGTATTGGATTTCTGACGAGCAGCTGGTAAGTTTGAACTGTTGACCTTTGGTTCACACCAACTTGTGGTCCAGTGCTTTATTCCACAGTGCCATAGCAACCTATTAAGCACAGAGTAGAACTTCTCCATAGGGTTTCCAAAGCTGCAGATGTTTATGAAAGCAGACTGTCACTTCTCCCTCCCAAGGAGCAGTCAGTGTAGGTTCAAATCATTTCTCTTTCAGGTAACAGACGCGTGCTTCACCACGACACCACCAGAAATCGATGTGTGCTCTAAACCCAGCCCAAATCCACGACTGTCAAGTCAATTCCGACACAGAGTGGTCCTGTGTAGGGTTTCTGAGGTTGTCGACATTTGTAGAACCAGAAAGCCTCATCTTTCTCTGGAGGAGCAGCTGGTAGGTTTGAACAGCCAACCTGTGATTAGCAGTACAGTGTTTATTTTGTTTAATTCTAAGTGGGAAAAGTGGAACTGAGGAAATGTCCTTTGAGTTAGGACTCATAGGCTGAGCAGAAGTTAGAAAAGCAAGGAAATGAGGTAAAGGAGGAGTGGGCAGAAAGACTATAAGTGAGCAAGAAATGGGAGGCGTGCCTGGAGAGTAGGACTCAGCTCTGTGTGGCTGAAGTACAGGTGGCTGAGCCAGGACGGTGGTTGGAAAAGTTGGCTGGGGTGACATTGCCTACAGCTTTGAATGCCAGGCTAAAAAGTTGAGGAAAAGGCTACAGAAGGCAAATGAGTCCGAATTAAAACAACTTCAGAGACTCAGCACACGCACGTCACCACCTACATCTCTTGGGTATAGGGACTGAGAATCCCTATGAATGCACATTTATGCAAGACTTAAAACCAGCTAGGTCACTAACTGGCCGTCAGTTCCACAGGTCACTTTTTCTTTGAAAGGAAAGATCAGTAAGTAGCTCTATGCTCTAAGAAAGGGTTCAGTTTATCAGACCTTCTGACACGCAGGAGAAGACTAGAAACCTGAAGAACAGGGAAGGAATTGCAATGCACACTGAAAATAAATGGAAGAGTTTTCACATGCTGTCACATTTGAATCACAAAGAGGATAAAAAAAGAGCGCTCCGAACCCTAGCAGACATAAGACACCAAGCCAGGATTTCCACTGTTGCCAGCCTTCTTGCTCCTACTTGCGGTCAGCTGTGCGAAACGACAACTCCTCAGCCTGCTAGCACTTGACCCCCAACAAGGTGGACGGACACAGTGACAGAAGCAACAATGGGCTCAAACATGAAAACAACAGTGAGGATGGAGCAGGACCAGGCAGTGCTTCATCTGGTTGTGCACAGGCTCGCTGTGAGTCAGAACTGACTTGACAGCACCTAAAGATGCCAACATCATCATTTGACTTACCATGAGCCAGACCGTAGATGCCAGCTACGAGGTGCTCGCCACTGGTGGCCGCGTGGTATCTGATGTACTCGCGCTCAGACTGATGCTGATTGTCCATAGTCTTCCCTAAGCCATCCGATAGCGTCCCCGCAAACTGTAAGGAATTAAAACACAAGGAGTGTGTGTGTGTGTGTGTGGGTGGGTGGGGAGATATATAACTGTAAGCTTTAGCACTAGTTTTACTTTTTTAATAAATACCTTCCCTTGCTCTTGGCTAGCATTCATTCCATACTGATGGGGAGATAAATTAAGCACTGCATTATGCACTCTGGCTGCCCCAGCACAGTGATTCTCAAGCACTGGAACACATTTTCACTGTAGGATGCTTACACTGGGGGGCACAGGCTTGAAAAGCACTGACAAGAAATCCATAACCACATATACTTTCCACTGTGCTACTCAAAGTTTACTGAAAAATTCAAGGTATAACAAATGGCCTAAGGGAAGAAGAAGAAGGGTGGGGACCCTCTTCTGGTGAAGGCTCTTTGCTCTAGGAGTTAGGGGACTCAAAACAGGAAACGTGGCAACTTACTGCATTAGGATTTGGTATAAAACTGTTTAGACATCAGCCTTTCTGAAATAATGCCCTTTCTTTCAGTTCTCCAGCATTTACTGAATGCCTGGGAGGTGCCAAACCCCGTTTGTCAAAAGGGAGAATGAAGTAGATGGGAAGATGAACAGGTTAGGTCACTTTTCACAGGAAGTGGAAGACTTGAACTCATGACTTCAACTGCAACAGCATCCTCCCCCACACATCAGCGAGAGGTTTTATTTATCCTGGCATACTTTAACACAGAGGCTGTCTCACCCATCAAAACTGCATAAAAAGGGCATAAAACTCTGTTTTGTCACAAGACAATCTGAAAAGGTTTAACGTGACAGTTAATAAACCACAGGGTACTTATCCTCATCATTCAGGCATAAAAAGAGAAGGATATCAAATATAGACTTAACCTCCTTGGGAAGGATCTACCAAAACAAGTGGTTTAAGTGCCAATGACCCAGGACTAACCTTTGAGAAAACTCACAGGAATGTTATTTAGATAGAAAGCTCAGTGGAAAGATTCAAGGCACATAGCCTGCCTTGAAGACCCAGTACATTGGGTAGTCATCTGGGGGCCTGTCTCCTTCTGGTTTAGCAAGGGGGAGGGTGTGTTAAATAGGCCTGCCCTGGAAACCATTAATGACTCTAATGGCAGGCAAGTTCTGGGCACAGAAGAGAGACAAGAGGAAGAAAGAGCAGTTCTACGTGAAGCGATGGTTACTGGAGCAAGATATGAGAATACGTGTTCCCTGTGCTCAGTCCAAAAGTTCAAGATCTCAGCCAGTGCTTTCTGGTAATGCAATCCCTTTCATTATCTGTTTGTCTTTAGCTTTGCTTCCCGATTATTACCTCTAACTGGAGAATTAAAGTTAATTAAGATTAATTTTATCATTTCCTTCGAACAGTTGAAGACACTCATGGAATGCGCTGGAAAACCAGCTCAGTGCATCACTAAGTGGGGGCTTCCCTCAAAGTGGCAGCCCCTGGAGACACTGTCGGTATGGGAGGTGGGGGTGAGGAACCAAAATCACAGTCTGTAAAATGTTTCTGCTGTGTATTTGCAGAATTTCATTGTTTTTTATGAAATGTTAGTTATAACAACTAAAACTTTTTTTGTAAGCCAGTGTACATGTATCAATATGCCTAGAAGGTTGAGACCCTATGCTAATTTCCTTTTTGAACTGTGTAATGTGCTTCAGGCAGAACTGTGATTATCATCAATTACAATCCAGGGTTTCCTCCACACACACATGCTGTTGATTTCGTTGCTGCCATTGTTTTTACAGTTGTTGATTTTAGTCAAATTTTCTGGTGTTTTAACAACAATATGTGATAATTCCTATTTATGAACTTATATCAATAATGTTTTTGAGAATGAATTAGCAATGAAAGGAAGAGGAGAGAAATCAGAGGACACTTCCTCTCAATAACTAATAATGTAATTCAATGTAGAAAGACTTTTGTTGTTGTTGTTAAGTGCCATTGTGTCCATTTTGACTCATAGTGAAGATTTCTGAAGCTTTTACAACCTTTGAGGGAGCAGAAAGCCTCATCTTTCTCCCACGGAGTGGCTGGTGAGCTTGAACCCCTGACCTTGTGGTTTACAGTCCAGTGCTTATCCTATGAAGTCACTGCACAACCTAAGAATTATTACATTTATACAGTCTACAACTGTATTTATCACATCTTATTCTATGATTTTGGAGTTCTGGTGTGGTGGTATATGATAGATACTAGACTGTTGTTAACTGCAAGATTGGCAGTTCAAAGCCACCAGCAGCTTCTCTGAAACCCTATATGAGGTCGCTATGAGTTGGAACCAAATGGACAGAACTTAATATTCTAATGATTAAAATTGATATTAGACATTCCTAAGGATTCTGTGTGGTGCAGGGGAAAGTCCCTGGGAGGGGGGTGACACCAACCCTAATCACACTACTGGGACTTTTCAGTCAAATAGAGACCCCACTGGAGATGCCCACAGTGTAGGAAAAGGAACATGAGTTTGGACGTCCAACTGAATTAGATTCCAGTTCTCTGTCAACCATCTCAGTCACTATGTGACCTCTGTGAGCCTTCTGCTGTATATATCGGGAGCAGCTGAGAGTACCTACTTGCTAAGTGGTTGGAAAGATGAGTGACAACAGTTCAGGCTCTGACATCTACTTAGCATTTCTATTAAAAAGTAGTGATTGTTCTGATCCTTCACTGTTTGAAAAATATCCTTCACTGTTTGAAGAAAGCCTTTGAAGGTTTTAGAACTATGGTCATTTGCACTAGTATTTAACAGACAACTTCACTTTCCAGCAGATAAACACCAACCTCCAAAAGGAGTTTTTGGAGTTCCAAAATCCTTCCCAGCTCTAACAGTGTGATCTATAACCCAAGTCAGGATGTCTTGATTAAGCATTTACTGTTGGCCCAGCCTGATTTAGGAACTGCACAGGATACAAAGAAACAGCAGCCTTGGACCCTATTCTCAAGGGGCCAACATGTTGGGAAGATAACAATTACATGCATGAAATGACCAGTGACAAGAATCCGGAACACAGACTGCAACCACTCAGGAATCCAGAGGAGAGAGAAAAATATAACCTTGGCTTTGGAAAGGGTCAAACAGAGAGTTCCTGCTGTGTTCTGGAATTCTGTACGCTGCCAGAGCTCTTGGTTTCAGGGTCTGGGCAGGCATGCCTCTCACTGGAGGCCACAGAGTGGGGAGAGCTTGCTGAAGTGGAAAAGGGGTCTCTAGAAGCACCTCCCTAGCATCTTCACCTGAAGAAACCCAGGAGCCTAGATAACATTCTGGGACTTGCTCAGATCTTCTTCCTTTCTCAAACTCCTGATTTGATAGCAGCTGTTCCTACGAAGACGCATTAACGTTCAAGTCCCCTCTGCCTATTTCTGGCAGCTGACTAGGAAGAAGTTAAAAACCCTTAATATTTTCCCCCTTAAGAGAATATGGGAGAATGATGTAGGCAAACTGCCCAGTACACCCCCTCTCCATCCACGCCCCCAACATCAATAAAACAAGTTTAATATCCATGGTTTACGAGTGAGCCTATGCCAAAAGGGTAATTGCCAATTGGTTCTGCTGAAGCAGTCTTGGCACCACCAGCATTGACTGGTTCTTGGGTGTTCTTCATGCAGAGGTACCATGATTGAGCTCAGGAGGGTAGGACAAGGTGACCTAAGAGACCACCCCTTCCCTCTAAAGCTGGATTCTTTCATGTGCTTCTCAAATGCCTCCCTTGCAGGGGAAGGAAGCCTACACACATAGCCAACTTACTCTAGGCCTCCCACCTGAATTCCCACTGCTCAGGATAAAAACTACAGCACAAGCCAAGTGTGCTTGTCGTCTGTCATTAGTAAGTAAAATGTAAAAGAAACAAACATGTTAGTAAAAAAGATGACAAAAGTCTTCACCTCTAGAAACCAGGCTTTGAGAACTCAGAAAACATTGGTAGATGTTGAAATCTATGATCCAGCCAGACCAGTACTGATGAAAGGTTAGTCATATTTCAGTCAGAGAAACATCTTCCAAGACCTAAACCTAGCATAAGTTAGGATGATCACAAGAGGAAATGGAAGCTTGGGGGGCAGATATTCAGATAAAGGGGAAACAAATCCCAGAGTCCTAGGGGTGGAGTAAGGGGGTGGGAGGAGGTTACAAATCAGAATCTGATCAGTAACCAGTTGCCAATGAGTCTATTTTGATTCATGGTGAGCCCTCAAAAGAATTGTTCAAAAAGATTTTCATAGTTGATTTTTCAGAAGCAGATAGCCAGGTCTTTCTTCTGAGGCACCTCTGAGTAGACGTGACACACCAACATTTTAGTTAGTAGCTAAGAGCTTAATCATTGGCACAACTCAGGGAGTCCTATCAAGACAGTGTTGTTGTAGCTGTTTTTAAGTGCTGTCAAGTCAGTTCCAACTGTGACCCTATGTACAACAGAACAAAACACTGCCCAGTCCTGTGCACTCACTGTTGTGGCCACTATGTCTACTCATCTCACTGAGGGTCTCCCTCTATTTCACTGACCGTTTACCAAGCATGATGTCCTTCCCCAGGGACTGGTCCCTCCTGATAACATGCCCTAAAACTAAGTCTTCTCACTACCTCGCTTCTAAGGAACATTCCATGACAGATTTGTTTACTCTTCTGGCAATCCATGGTCTAGTCAACATTCTTTGCCAATATCATAATTAAGACACATCAATTCTTCTCTGGTCTTCCTTATTCGCTGTCTTGTTTTCCCATTCATATGCGGTGACTGAGAATGCCATGGCTTGGTCAGGTGCACCTTAGCCCTCACAGTGACCTGCTCTGTAACACTTTAAAGAGGTCTTGTGCAGCAGATTTGCTCAATACAATATTGCCATTTGATTTATTGACTGCTGCATCCATGAGTTTTGGTTGTGGATCCAAATAAAATGAAATCTTTGACTACTTCAATCTCTTTTCCATTTATCATGGTATTATTTATTGGTTCAGTTGTAAGGACTTTTGTTTTCTTGATGTGAAGGTATAATTCATTCTGAAGGCTTGTCTT